CATGCGTGTGTTTCGTGAGTGTGTGTAGGAGGGCGTGTGTGGGTGTGTGTGGGGGTGGGTGGTTGCGTGGGTGTGGGTGGGTGGACATGCGTGCGTACGTATGTGCGTGCATACGTACGTACGTACGTACGTACGTACGTACGTCCGTGCGTGCATGCGTGCGTGCGGGCGAAGAAGCTCAGCGATACCCTCCTCCGGCCTCCGGCATGTGTTTTCTTGTTGCCGCATCAGGGGCGCGTTTGCAACATGTTGCAATCCTGGGGAGGCTCAAGGTCAATGTGTGCACGCCCAACCTGCAGGCAAATCACAACTTCTCAGAAAAAAGCTTGTGACAGAGCCACCGTGCTTTCAGAAGATGCAAACATGCAGTGACTTTTCAAGCGAGGTGTCAGTCAGTAGAGCACCAATAGTATCGCCGCATAGTCTATTGCACAGGGAATTGCTTGAACGGGCTAGGCATGTTGTCTCGAATGTGGTATCGGGTTTAGCACACCCCCCCAGACATTTTTGGAGGCTATATAGTAGAGGGAGATCAGCTCAGTATCAGCTCTTTGTTGAGGAAGGAGGTAGGGTGAACAGCAGCAGAAAAGAAGTACAGTACGAATACAGTAGCAGTACAAACGCACAGTAGTAGTGCAGCAGTGCAGGTGATAGCACACGGGTTGTACAGTACTATTACAACAACAATGCTCGATCAACCTGTAAACGCGCGCGCGTTGTTAGGCATGTTGCTTTTGCGTGGACACGCAGGAAGTGCCGACATGCATTTTACGCATGGGACAAATCCCACTCTCGGTTAGCTCTGTTCACGAAATTTCTCTGCATAGCCTTTGCCTCGGTTTTGCAGGGGAACGCTTGCTGCAAGACAAACTTTGCGCTCCTGTGTGGGAAAACGCCGGACGCAAATTTCAGACAAGCGCGTGTTTGGAAATTGCTGTGCTGTTTCCTGCACAAGACGCAATACCAACAACAGCAACATGAACATGAGAATGACGGTCATGGGCGGAGTAGACACAGAAAGAAGGAACATCGGTCTGCAACATGACGACGACCAGCATGAGCATCATTATCAGCATCATCATCTTCGTCATCTTTATCTTAATGCTGAAAGGCAAGAAGTTTTGAGGATTCATGGCTTGGGCTTGCTTGAGGCTGACGGAAACGTGGAGTATTTGGACCTTTGTGACTTATATTGGGCTTACAAAGTAACTCTAATAAACCCTAACCGTTCTCAAACGCACTAGACCAGGGACGTCATTAAGTTTTGGGCATGGATGCCCTGTTCTCAAACGCACTAGACCATGGACGTTATTAAGTTTTGGGCATGGATGCTCTGTTCGCAAAATGGTTCAGACCATGGACGTCATTAGGTTGTGGGCATGGATGCTCTGTTCTCAAACGCACTAGACAATGGACGTCATTAGGTTTTGGGGGTTGGATGTAGAGAAAACACCGCAAATACCGAGGGTTTCGGTACTGCAAGCAAAGGAAACACCGTAAATACAAAGGGTTGCGGCACTTGCAAAAATCGTGAATTTGCAGACGCCGGGAACGCCGACGGCACCGTTATATATTCGGCACATGAAGTGACGGTCGGTTTTGCGTGTTTACAGGGTGGTGTATGGGCCAATAACATTACAGTAATAGTCATAGTACAGAGTACACTACCAGTACAACAACAGTACAGTAGGAGGGTCTACAGGGCCCCAAACCAACCCCCGATCATTCCAAGATAACTGCCAAGACTAAAGGCGCTTCATTTTGAAAACTTTTTCCTCCATCCTGCAGTCTCTCTCGCCCCAAAATCGACCAAGCCTGGGGTAAATTCGTGCAGTAGGACAGAGGTAGTACAGTAGTAGTAAAGCAGCATTAAAACACAGTAGTACAGTAGGAGGGCTTAGGGGCCCCCAAAATCTCGAAACCAAGCCTCGATCAGTCCAAGATATCACCAATACCGAAATGCCCTTCATTTTGAAGACTTTTCCTTGATCCACCAACGCGAGGCATGCTAAATGAGACTCTCCGGTCTCCGGCCTCTTGCTATCCTCTCAAGCATGATTCACCATTAGCACAAAGGACAAATCAAACCGAAGAAAACACAGCGGGGACAGAAACGAACATCATGTCCTGAATAAGCCGCCGACAACATGCATTATAGACGCCCGCCTACCAAAACCCGGTGCCACATTCATTAAACCGGTTGACGTACCCGAAGGGGATGTTTCTTTCCGATCCTTTTTGGAGCATGCCTATGCGCAAGCCGCATGCTGCAACCAAGGACAACATGCACGAAGCTGCCCCCAAGGTACGCTGGGTCTGATGTGGGCGAACTACCACCAGCCTGGCAGACAGCGGACAAGATTCGGGAATTGGACTTCCTTGATGAAGACTGCAGCGAATTACGTGGCACGAACGATTTGCACGTTTGAAGAGACTGCAGCGAGTTACATACAGTGATTTGCACGAGTCTGAAGTTTATAGCATGAGTCTGAAGTTTAATGCTAGTAGGCTTGCTCCAATCGTGGCTCGACTCGACGAACTTTTACCGCTGCGCTGCTTTGGAGTTTGTGATTCTTAGCTATGAATACCGTGGCACGTGTGGACGCCCGCACCCCGGACATGCTGCGGTTTCAAGCTAGCGTGCAATTCCTCCAGCTTCCTGCTCCTCCACCCCTCCTCAGGCTACCCTGCCTGCAAGTGCCAAGTGGCTAGGGGGACGGGCCAGCAAGGTGTGCAATACTTGCTCTCAGTTCCCTAGCTCATACGCCCAGGATCCCCTGTTTGCGACTGTTCCACTTTCCTTGCAGGAGCCTGGGATGCAACAACGGAAATCAAACTGCGATGACTCACGACACGCAGCAAAATCTTCCAACCTCCGATGTTTCGCGGAAGGTGACCTGAGACAGAAAACTGAATTCCATGTCTTCAAACGTCCAGAGCAGTCCCGTCGCTAAAACCTTAGATTCTAAAGCACAGGCGTAGCCACAAAGAACCCGAAGCTGGAGGGGTATGCCTTGACGGCTCAATGATTCTATAAGGACACTTCCGGTCTCAGCATGCACCAAGCTTCGGGTTTCGGGCTCGGCTTTGGGATTTAGAATCCCCGTGTCTTGAAGCTTACAAGCTTGCAAACGGTGCACCTCACTGGAAGGCTGGTTGGGTGTTGCTGTGAGTTCCTTGATCCAGCTCTCTCGCACCAAGTGTTCCCACGCCAGCAAAAAGGCACTGCACGGGTTGTTCCCGCGAACCCGTACCTCTTCCCATGACGAAGTGCCAATGAGTTCGGGTATGCCTTGACAAGACGACGCCTCGATGCAACTATGCTACGTGATCAATTTCGTTGCTGCTTTGTCGGTTTTGCGGTTGGGCTATGCAGAAAACCCTGTACCGACCAAACCCTTCTTCTCGAACCCATGAACTTCCACGAATCTCGCACATGTCGACATGCACCTGTCCGGGAACCGATGGGCAAGCCTTCTTCCCTATGAAACACAGTTCGGCAAAATTTCTGGGCAGCATAATTTGGGCTAGAGCAAGAGACCATGCAGTACTAGTGCTAAGCAGCCCAGGGTCTGAAAATTAAAAATGCGCTGTTGGAGCCTTGCACTCCAATCCTTTCAGCCAGGTTAACAAGAAGCCCGAATGTGTACGCAACAACGAAATCCCTAAGTTTGGGGCCTTTGGGATTTAGCGAGAGGAACACTTATAGATGGCAGGTTGTGAGCCCCTAGAAGAATCGTCATAGTTGCACACGAACCGCCAGGAATCATCGATTCGGCAAGGCAAGAACACTAAGGACTGAGGCGGCAAGGAAGAGAGAAGAACTACACCGCATGTCCGCCCGCTGTTGCGAAGCAATACGTGATAAGACCGACTAGCCTTGTAGTGCTGCTCAAGAGCTCCATACTAAAAGATCTAATGCTTGAGTCCTTCGTTGCAGGACAGCAGACAGCAGCCCAGTTGCTTAGTTCTCTGGCCGCACGACGGCAATCCTTTGGTTATGGTGGAACTGCAAGCAACCTGAAAGCCCTAAACCTTTTCAAAGAGTGTTATGTCAAAGGTTGGATGAGGAGCTCGGTAGAGCTTCTCAGCGACGGAAGCTATGCTTGGTTCAGCCGGCCTGGCCTCCTGCAATCGCAGCTGTTCTGCGCACCGCATCTTGCGCGGTTTACACATGCACATCTACACAGTGTGCGCATGCACAAATATAACACATATACATATATACATGTGGATACATATAGACACACACACACACCTATACATAAAGATAAGTATATATGCACCCCCCTAAAACCTATGTCTTACTACTTTGCGCACCAAACCCAGAACAACGTCTGTATCTAAGTTGTAATCCTCTACCCTAAACCCTGATAGTGCCAGCCCACACCCAAATCGGTGCAGCCAGATACCTTGGTTGACATGACACTCAAAGACATACATGCACGTCGCGAAAGGTATATTGCTTGGATAATGTTTTTTCTCTCGAGATTCAGTCGAGGGTTTGTAAGCCAAACCATCAAAAGGTACAGTAATGGCAATTACACCTGAGTGACTTGCTACTGAGAAGCTACGACAGCACTGCAAGGTATGCAGGAGGACATTACAATTCTGCAGCACAAGGAACAATCCTTTGCATGCCAGTGAAAGGAGAGAGGATCGCCCTACTTGCTGTAGCTGTTGAGAGGGTGACGGTAAATGCGTGAGGGTCTGGTACACGATATTGCGTATAACCTTGCTCCCCTCAGATGAGCGTGTGGTAGATATGACTGTGGTTGCGCTTCCAATGAATATGACAGCAACCCTTTGCAGGCAAACTCGGTCCTCTCCTTAAAAGACTTGTAGAGCCCCGCACACCTCAGAGGGAGGAGGCTGTAGCAGAGCAACGGCGGGGGACAAGTTTAACATGTGTGCCCAACGACAGTGACGACGGACTTGTTTTGCTAGCGCTGTGTTCATCCCCAGAACTTTGATCACTCAAAGATGAAACTCACTGCTGCCTATTCATCATGAGCTTCTGCATGATGAATTTGCTCAAGCTGCATGCAGCTACCCAAGGATCCTCGTCTTTCTTCCAGTATTGGAATTGGGCTGCGCGGATCTGAGCTCTCAACTGCTTGGGTCCTGCCTTCGCGTGTTGGTTGAGCGAGAGGCGATCCTTTAGAAACCGCCAGGCGCGGTCAATCACCTGTGTACCGGCCTTAACCTGGACAGTCTCAGACTTACCAGACTTGCCCGGTAGCTTGTGGGTGACTGCCTTAACATAGTTGGGTCTGACCCAGCACATTTTGCCCTTCACGAGGATCCTTTTCTTTGCGTGCACCACGTTATCATGCAGCACACCCTCCACCTTGGTCGTGTAGCTCCGGGCCGCGTCGGTGTGGAGGATCACCCGTTTACCCTTTAGGTATTTCCGGGCGATTGGCAGCCACTCGACCTTGCGCACTGCACCAGGGCCCGGCGCTCTCTTGTCCGTCTTGGGTGGACTAAGCCTTTCCAAGATCAATGTTTGTGGGCACCCCCGGTTGAACCAACCCGAGCCATTGCTCCCACTGAATGGCCTGGTCGGGATTGGCTTTCGAGGAGTTGCCGCTCACATCAGTCTTGACAAAGGAGGCCTCGTCGCCTTCGACGTCGGTCCAGTACCGGATGCACGTATCAGTGGCTCGGTGGGACCCCAGGATGATCTTTTTCTGGTAGAAGTTCACATACTCCTCCCTCGCATACATCAAGCGCGTGCCCATGTCCTCCACCAGCTTGTGGTTCGCATTCATGGTCTGGCAGATGGCAGGGGTGGATATGTCCTGTACCTTCATGAGCAGGACACAGGCCTGGACCTGCAAAGACGTACAAGAGCTGCCCTTGCCATCGGTGAACCATGGATGAAGATGCTGGGGAGATGTAGACCTGACATCGCCATCGATTGCATCCGTACTTTGGGTACTTCTGGCCCGTGTGCCTTGTTCGCATCGAGGACAACACTTAACCAGTCCGGCAGCATTTCGTCTTTGATGAGCATGCGGACAATGGAGGTATTGCTAGCCTCAAGGAGCCTTGGAGTGTCCTGCTTGCATTTGAGTCGGTCCTTCCTCACCCCGCGACCACCCGCATAGCCTTCGTGGCGAACGTAGGGCACAGACGCCAAGTGACTGAGGACAGGAGCAGGAATGCTTGGGGTACACACAGCTGCACAGTGAAGTCGCGAGTGTTTAGGCTACCGAATGCTTGGCGCACACAGAGAAAGAGAGAGAGAGAGAGAGAGAGAGCTGCGCAGAATAGTGCCAGCAAAGCTAGTGCTTTCCTTTTCTTTTGCGTCACGCTGGCTCCTGACGGCGTCAAAACTCAGGGTGTATAACCTCAGCCCTTCAATCAACTTCAGTCCTCCGAGTGGAAGTCTCTGGCGATCTCTTCGTCCGCATCCAGGCCTTCGTCTGTCTTGTGCATTTTCCGTGGTGGCGAGCGAATGGGTGGACTGGAAGAGGCTGCTGCGGCTGCTGAGGGCCGTGGCGGGGATGAAGGAGCTGAGTCTGCCGGATGCTCTGGATCATGCGAGGTATCGTAGTCAGCAAGCCACGAGTCGTAAGTGGCTCCCCGCCTCATATATTCCTTCTCCTCGTCCGAGGCGAGAAGGTTGCCGATAAGCATAGCCTCCTGCTCAAGGGCTTCCTCGAAGCCAGGATACTTGACCTGCTGGTTGCCGTCCTTGAATTTGCCGTAGTATGCCTTGTGCTTGTCCGAGATCCAGTCAACCGTGAGGCCATCACCCTCGAATCTATAGATGTCCTGACTCTGATGCTCACTGGGAAGGCGCACGTAGACTGCCTTGTTCCCCGCGACAATGACAGAGGAAACTTGAGAATGGCCATGAGGTGGGGGACGGAAGCGTCATTGAAGGCTGAAGAAATCATGTTCTTGAAATCCTTCCAGCCAATGCGAGTATGGAAATCGAGATCCGGCTCACTGTCAGGGGACCATTCATTGGTGAGCAAAATTCGGGTTTGATTCCGCACAAATTTCGCGGCCTTGTAGCGGGCGTCCACTAGGCAGGTCTCTCCTACGTCCAGGAAGGACTTCAGGTCCTCGAAGGTCATACCGCTGAGAATAGGATCGTCCAAGAGCACGGGCACATGAAGCTCGCCAGGTCGCTCACGAAACCCATCGATCTGCTTAGATCGGCGCCATCCGACTATGGCTTCGGCAGGGCCCCGGGTGGCAACGTAGTGCCTGGCAAGCGCAAGACCGAGGACAATGGCCAGAGGCGTCTTCCCGATGCCGGCCCGACCCAGCAGCACCAAACCATGGGTTGGCATGGTAGGCACGATGAGCGGAATGATCTTCTTGACGAAGCCTTCATTGAGGTCGGAGATGACCAAGGGGAAGAAGTACTCGGGCTCTGCCTGAGAATTTCCTAAGCTGCGGTTCTGGCACGCACGGCTCACGATGTGCATTGGCCATCCGAAGATGGCGCACTCCCTGTCGCGAATGCTTAGGAGTGCCCACAAGAACTGTTCGTTCTTGCCATTTGCTAGTGGAGCGAACTGATTGATGAACTCAATAAGGTATATATAGGTGGTATTGTAGAACCGCACATGGTTTCCGAGAATGCACTAGGCCTGCAAGTGGTCACCCCAAAACATACACACAGACACACACACACACACGCACTCACACGCGCGCTCAGGCGCTCACACGCTCACATGCACACGTACACACGCATAGACACGCAGAGACACACACACACACACCGATCGCGAATCATGTAGGGAGAGGGAAGGGGGAGGAGGGGGGGGGGGGAACTCTCACAACACAGGTTACTTCATAAGACCCTCCCCCCCCCAAGGTTTATAAACCCAGCACAGAGTTTATAAACCCAACATGGGGATTATAACTAAACTCGTGGGTTCCAATACTTACCTTAGAAAACAAGACAAAGTTCCATACAGAAGTAGAGAAAGTAAAGATCCTAGTGCAAGTCACAAGATACATCTATGCAACACATGAAATCCAGTGTAAGCTATTATAACATACCATTGATTTTCCCACCTCAAAAATCTAATGGTGAAAAAGTGAGAACACACTCTTATTTACGACGAAAAACAGTAAAACCTAGGTTTTGGCAGGGGGGTACCATATATATATATATATACAAAACATACATACATAAACATAAACATAAACATAAACATATACACATACATGTACATATACATTTACATATACATATACATACATACACATACGAATGCATGCATGCATGCATG